AAGTTTGGCTGTTTTCTTACATGAAATGCTTCCTTAAATTAAATTTTTTTGTTATATGTATCTAATATCAACTAATTCTTACGGCGGCTTTTTAGCAGCTGGCTTTCTGTAGGCAGTGCGGCTAAACTTTGAAGGTTTTTTCATACCAGAACATTGCAAAATTCTTTTGCGGTAAAGTGCAACAGTGTCTTATACTAAACCGTTCTTAAGGATCTTCAGGCACAATCTTTACGGTCATTTTCTTCATACCACGGAAAATGGTTATATCGAGCGATTTTGTTTTATCAGCTAGAGCTTCATAAACATCTGACGAGTTCTTGATGTCCTTGTCATTTATTTTCGTAACAATATCACCAGGATAGAGACCGCCACTGAATATAAAAGGAATAACTATTTAGTCATATCGTGCCTTGACATTTGAAAGAACAACTTAAGTGTGTCTTTAACGGACAAACGAAATAGCATATGTCGACCAAACCTATTAATATATGAAGAATACAGAAGCTACTCGAAACCACTTCGAGTTACTCATACGCGTTCCACAAGTAAGTTTTAGAGTTTATTTGATATACGCTGACAGTTGAAACTTTGCTCAATTTTTCTACCAAACCTATTAAATTATTTTATCGCCATTCACACCCTTTTAAAATTTTTTTGTTTTCAACAACTGGCATATTTGTACGTTAAAGATAGACTTAAGATGTTCTTGCAAATATCAACAAACGTATATTTATGTATAAAAAAAATACTTACGTATGCGCCGGCGAGCCAATGATTACTTTCCACACAAGCACGCCATGTTGCAGGTCGCTGGGTACATTTTGCGTCCGATTTTTTAGTTCGAAGAGTATGTCGGGAGTTAGTGTCAGCATTGTTATGCCCATATAGCGTTTGGCAGGATAATCCATCCTGCTGACACCTTGTTTGCGTCGTTCTGCAGCTCTTTTAAGAAATAGTTTAACATAGTCAATGGGTATGGCAAAACTAATTCCTGCGGTGACTTTCATTGAGTTAACCCCAATAGCTTCGCCATCTAAGTTCACTAGTGGGCCGCCCGAATTTCCAAATGTAATAGCAGCATCCGTTTGTATATAATTTATATCACGATTTTTTAGCCCCAATTCTTGTGAGGGACGTTGTGTTGAACTAACTACGCCAGCAGTCACTGTGTTACTCAATGCCAATGGACTACCCAGCGCCACAACCCATTCGCCTGAACGCAGTGTAGAACTTTGCCCAAGTGCCATTACTGGCAAATTTTTACAATCGATACGCACTGTGGCCAGATCTGATGTTTGGTCTATATCTTCCACTACGCCAGGAAATATCCGTCCGTCGTTTAGCCTTACCTGTACCATTGTGTGTGGCTTATTGATGACAACATGGGCATTTGTCAATATGAGTCCATCGGAATCGATTATGAATCCAGAGCCATTTGAAGCCGTGACGGGTTTGCCGGTATAGTAATCAAACTGTCGCATGTCCTTTATCTCTATGTACACCACTGACGGTGCGCATGCATGTACAACGTCCGCAAGGAAATTATATTGGTTGCGACGTCCAGACAGTGGGGGCAATGTAAAAGCAGACACATGTGGTATAATAGACTTCCTGTGATCGTATGCTAGGTATGCAGATACTGCAGTAATAGTGGCAATTGGCAGGAAGCTGGATCTGCAAGACTTTCTTCGATAGTCCTGCGAATTTCCTTTATTGTTGTTGTTGTTTTCATCGCCATAGCTTCTTGTTTGCGGTTGTTCGCGAATTGACTGATTAAGTGAGCGCAATAATCCTCGGGTATTTAAAATTTTCAATGAAACATGAAACTTTTTTAAATTATTCAATGCCATCACTGCTGCAAAAATCCGCGTATTACCGATTGTTTTGCATGCATCAGCTGATAGGTCTTCTTCTTATCTGCGTGCAATTCCTAATGGCTGAAGAAAAGTGTTGGATAACGTTATTTTTTATTTAAGCTCTTTGATGTGGCATGTTTTATTTAGGAACGATTTAGGAACGTTCTTTGGTAAATCTAAAAGAAGGGGAAACCAGAGAACGTTAAATATTTATTTAATTTTTATTTTTAAATATTTATTTTAAGTATTTAACGATTTCTGTTTTCCGTATTCAAGGCGAAAATAAAAAATCTGCCGCGGACAGAGTCAAAACGGAGACGAATTCCTGTTGCAAACGTTTCAGATACGGTCAAAATCAGCGCGGCACATTTTCAGAGTAACGAGTTCCCCTTATAAATTTATCTTCTTTGGTAACGTTTGCTTTTAGTAGATTTGCGTTCTTTGGTATTTACGTTCTGGGAAACTTCATTCAGAAAGTTTGTGGGGACCGTAGCTTCACCTCACCCTAATAGATAATGTGGAAAAATTCCACTAGATACGACAGCTCTGGTGCTCAGCTGATATTTGGCATTTCGCCATGTTACTGAATTTCAGCTAACTTCAGTTTCATAGCAATTTTTTCTGGCGTTTCGCTAAAATTTCTGACTGTCTGATTCCAGGAAAACTTCTTTGTTGAAGGGATAAAAGTGAAAATACATAATAATTGAATTAAGAATAGTGTAGTTTAAATTGGGCGTGGTTGAAATGGAAGTGTTCCAGACTGATAATTATTACATTTTCGTGAAACGCGAGAAGAGTTTGTGGTGGCATCGCAAGACATCCGAATTTACAATCAAAGCAGGTAAATATGAACAAATTAGCCTGTAAAGTAGTAAACCAATCAATTATTACTTTATTGATAAGCATACTCGTTTTGGAGGCGTTCCGTGAATAACGCATTGCATTTAGGCTTGGAGTCAATGAATGCGCATTAATGAAACTTCCATTGATTAATATACTTACATATGTATGTGTACATATTACAATTACACGCGAAATCAGGATTTCTTCAATTCGTTTTACCCGTTTATGGCCGTCGCTCCCCCGCATCATTCTGATTATTATTGAGGCGACCTTCAATTCCGCATGCTGCTGTCGCTTATAGCTAGGAAGGCAGGCACTATTGTTTATCTGACTATGCTTTGTTAGGGTTCCCCTTCCATGAACGTAAAACAAGCATTGTGGAGAGGGTGTAAATATACATTTTGCGTTTAGATTGGCTGATTTGAGCGCACGAAAAGTACATTCATTTTTGTCACAATAGAAGTTTTCCAGTCGTTTGTTATTGTATTCATATTTTGCCCCCACCGCAGCGTGCACGTTCAAATGTACTTACTACATATAATAATTATAATTACTTATCTGTTTTAGGAGTAAGGTTGCTGGTCTATGGTTCTACCAGCCAATACAATTACAAAACACTGCTTAATGTCGACACTTGTTTGGATATTGAAAGCTAGTCGTTGGGTATTATTTACATATAATGCTGTGACATCTTTTTCCACATTATGACTCATGTGCATACATATATGACAATTTATTTTGGTTTAAACCCTGAGTTTATTCACCTTTAACTCGGCTACATACTTACTTGCAGGTTTACGAGTGTTAAACAAACGTTGCGCATTACATGTTTACATACATATTTTATATGCACTTTTTGGGAAAAATAAATTGTCAGCATAAAATCCTCTATTTTTAAAAGTTAGTAGATATGTAATCGAAGTATGCTAAAGTAGTTCTTTTCAAAATAAAGCTCCATCTAACCTTTCTACGCGTCCGTGTTGATACGTAGCGCTATTTGCATGTATATTTAATGAATCTTTCATTTCTATCAAAGGCTTCGATAAACATATTGCTTAGTCAAAGTCGAAATCAACTTATGCTGCTTAGCTTCAAGACTGCATAAGGGACAGTTATTATCTTTATAATAAAAATCAAAATTTAACCGCTAAATGTGGACTTTTATTTTCCTCATAAAATTTAACAGTTTTTATTTTTATATTTTTGGGTCAAATTTTTGTTCATGGTTTTGATTAAAATGTTTTTCGATCATATAACTTACTTTACTGTCTACGCGAAATGAATAATTTTATCTAGTATTTTTGTTTTATATTTATACCCAAGAACATGAAAAATAAATAGTTTTTAACCGACTTCTAAAAACAGAATGTTATCAATTTGTGGGAATATAGTGTATACATATATATATATTTTTTTGTGTATGTTACCGCATAACGTTGGACCACGTTAACTGATTTCTATAATTCTTTTTTTAAAGGACAGTTGGTAACTCAGAGGTGGCCCCATACTAATTTGGTTTAGTATCGATCATTGGATCATGAAGAAATCAACAGTACTCTTAAATTTTTATATGAGAGTTGAAGTCGGTTGTTGTTGTTGTTGTAACAGCATACAAATTCCCCAAAGAGATTTTGGGGAGTGTTGCTGGAGTGGTGGCAGTCCTTGGCCAGATATATATCTATCTGGGTCGTTCCGGTTACGTAGACCCGACTGTCGTGGGAACGGTTGAAGTCGGTTTTGTTTTTTGCTTAAAAATTACGTGTTATATAAGAAAATTTATATATGTATATGTTTATGTTATTATAAATTTATGCATTCGCGTAAATTGTAAATGGATAAACCCTTCTAGATGGCATGTAAGAAACACTTTTTTCAGCCCTTCTTGGGTAGGCCTCTTAGAATGGATTTACTTAGGAAGGCCTACCCAAATTATCTTTTGGGATGCTGCATTTCTTTTAGTGCATTTCATGCATGTTCCACTTACCACATTTTGTAGTGTTGACACAGCTACATACATATGTACATACATACATATGAGTCACTTGACCATGACTCTTGACACTCTAGTCTTTGTAATGCGAATCCATAATAGTTAATATTTGCTCTATGGTCTTTTGTCCCAATGCAAATACTTGTGCAGAGGGAAATTTATTTTTCATTTTTTTTTTTTATGTTAGATTTCTGCGTTGGAAGAAAGCCAGAAAACCAACTGGTTCTTGGCACGGGATATACATGCGTACATAATACATACGTACATGCGTAGGGGATAAGCAATATGAAGTGCAAGCACTGTACATTTTTGTCGGAAAGTTGTATCTACTTGCATTTGGGTGCATAAAGGGAACAAGATTTGCAAAAATCGTTATGACCAATTTATGTTCTCCATTAGCCATTATCCACATCTAAGCTACATGCTTTTGCTGCTCGTGGCATATGCATTTAAGTGCTCTTAAGCAAACGAGTATGTGCTAGTGTGCTTTGGTTATCATTCTATACATTGTCCTTGATTCCCTGCAGGCAGGTTAATGGCACAAAAATTGTGCTTTGCCTGTATGGGGTGAGTGAATGTGCTTCTTGTGCAAACTTCTCTCTCCTAAATGTTAAATTTACACTTTAAATATTTACGTAGTAATAACTATACATATAGCAACAACAAAGGTAAACCTCTTTAATTAAAGGCGACAACTGGTTACCGCCTCACAAGCGACTGGTTAAAAAGAAAAATAAATAAACAAATAGGCGTAACATTGAATAAGTAAAATTAACAGCCGTCAAAATTGTAATGAACACGTAGTGATTGTGTTTGTGTATACTGATATAGAATTTTTAAGATTATTATTCGTAGTATGATACATAACAAAATCTGGGCTCGAACCGTAACAGTCTTGAGAGAGCAACTCGTCACATGAAAATACATATTTCGGATTATAACGGTCCTGAACGTAGTGCTCGTCTCGTAATTCGGTACACAATACGAGCAGTACGTTCACGGCTGGTAGTTTAGGTACTGAAAACGCGTTGAAACTACGTCATAAATAACGTGTTTACAAGCTTTTATTTTAAATGTGTTTAAATTTACATATTCCATTTAATTTTATCAGTTAATGAATTTCGCTTTTATCTTCTCAGGTTGGGACCTCTCTTCTGTGGATGATATTGAATGTATTGGTATTTCACATGGCATTGTGGGCGTTATTAGTTTGCCAAATGTATACGAACCGCATTTGGTGATAGTGAAGGAAGCTACACCCGTTGGCGTTCTTCATGCACCCAGTCTTGTGTATAAAATCAAATCGATTTGCATATTAAGCGCTGATGAACCAGATACAGTATTAACTTCCTGCACCCGGCACTCGAGGCAAGTAATTAAGGGACATATTATTCTTACTAAATCAGAAAATAGTTAAAACTTTTCAAAATTTCATCTTTTTTTACAGGAGCGCCAACAGCACACCCACACATTCACCCTCGTCGAATGCTTCTACTACAAGCAGCACCGGCAACACCCCTGTCGCCAAGACAAAACTTTTTGAGGGTGCTCAACTAATGAATAAAACTTGGGGTGCTGTCAAAATTGCCGGCAGCACTATTAAGAATACCACCCAGCAAGCCGCCGCGTTGGCTTCCAATCAAATGAAGTCTTCTGTGGGCATACGTGATCCGTTGCGCATTGCGAAGCGCATTACAGAGGAGCTGCATAAGATTTTTGATGAAACGGATAGCTTTTACTTTAGTTTCGACAGCGACATCACCAACAATTTGCAGCGGCAGAGTGGTGCTGGCGACCAAAAACGGCAATACGATGAGCGTTTCTTTTGGAATATGCATATGATTGCCGATATTTTGAAACTTAAAGTAAGCTTGTTTTTTTATTGTTGATGCTTCCGACCGGGCAGGAGTATGATCTTTTTTGGATCGAATTTCGGAGATCCCATTTAAATTTTGGTATGTCTTCAGACCAAAATTGACAAGGAATGATGGAAATTCGTTCCAAAGTATATAAACTTTCCTAGTTGGCATCCGTTCATTACTGCATTAATAATATGTAAATGCTTGAAATTTTCTTTGTTGTAGGACAATACGTGGGTATTGCCGATTATACAAGGATTCGTGCAAGTCGAACCTTGCGTGATAGGTAATGAATGCTTAACATTGGCGCTAGTGTCGCGCCGGTCACGATATCGCGCGGGCACGAGGTAAGTGTTTAGATGTTGGCT